TAGAAATTTAAGTTTTCCACCGTTTTCACGCTTGAAAAGTGACTATTTTGTACAAAAAACGTCGTTTCTTGCGTTTTTTTAATGAGCGTGAATGGATCACAGTCGCGGTCCCCGATTGTGCGTTTAAACGGGTTTTTCGAAAGTTTGTCTGCCTGGGTAATAAACATTGTGTCAAATGGTACGGGTATGTACGCCTCTCCACTTGTCGGCTTCTATCGTGAGAAAGTGGCTACGTACAGCTGCAGTAAATGCAAGAAGAGAAGATCTTTTATAAAAGCACAACAGTACATACAAATTTTTTCGAACTCTGACTTTTGTGTCATGCATGCATAAAGTATTGAACCATATTTCTATAGATCAAATGCGTTCCCATGGCAAATAGTCGACAGCTCTATCTCTTTATAAGTTCTCAAATACGTTGGAATAAATTCATTTAGCTCTGTTGAGATATCCCCTAATCTGTAAAACGTTTACGTAGGATTTCTCTGTCAAGCGAACCAGAGCATAGAAATTGTTTTTATTGATTTATAGGATAAAAAACGCGAATAGCTTCGATGTATAATTAAATAATTTGAATCTTTCATTTTGATCGATGATTTACTATCACATTTGTGTTACCATGTCAGTTCTTCGCGAACTTTTATTTTGCCGTACGAAGGACTATTGCTTAATCCACGTCCTTTGTTTGGTAAATCAATAGTTTGTAGGGATATTCCGAGATAATCGAGTCCGCATTCCAAATATGCGACTTTGACTGGCTGCGACTCGTTCATCTTTTTCGCCCCTTACAATATCCGTAGGTGTACGTGCTCGATGTAAATGATAGATAGTTGATTCATTTAAGTACTGATGTGGTACCCCCCATGAATATCCTCCAAGCAGAGAAGTATAAAATGTCGGTATATCCATCATACCCCAACCAGAGGTATGTTCTACAGAACCAACACTGAACACAGCAGCATTGAAAGATGTAGTTTGCGTAATCAATCAGTTTGTTAGAAATCCACCATAGCTGTAACCGCCAATGGCAAGTCTATTTGGATCAGCGATACCGTCGTTAACTAGTTCATCAACTGCTAAAAGAATATCTCTACCCGGTCGAGATAGAGGTTGAAGAAAAATTTCGTTATGGAACTGATCGCCATATTCAACTGAAGCTCGATAGTTGGGCTCGAATACAAGCCAACCTTCCGAGGCTGTCAATGGTGACCATTTGTGCCAGTCATCACGGAATGCATTGCCACTTGCGCTGTTTGGACCGCCATGAATAAAAACAAACAAAGGTAAATGTTTTGATTGAAATTTTTCTGATGGATAATGTAAAATGCTTTCGATCGTTTGTTGATCTTCGTTGTTTTTTTTCATTGATAAACTTTTGCTTGTGGTAACTCTCTCTGTGTAAATAGTTTATTTTCACTTCTTAATGCCCATGCTCACTGGATTGATATGGTTCGAATTTGCATTTGAATGAAATTTAGTTTGTTTCTGATGAATCATCAGATGTTTCTTCTGAGTCATCATCCAAATTGTGTTTCATTTGCGCCAATGTAACGGTATACAATTCCATCGAATAATTGATAATGAACATATATTTGTGTTTCATTTTTTGTTTCTTGAGTGATTCTGACTTGTGTTATTGATATTCAATCACACAAAGGCTAAGATTGTTTATAATTTTCTGAATCATACAGAGAAACAGACAAAAATGTTGGTTCCAAATCAAGGAAAAACTCTTGAATATATTGTTCGATAAATGTTAAGAAAAGTCATGAGCAGCGTAGAGAGAAACAACCTGCCAACAAGGAAATCATTTATCTCCATTGCATTTTAGTCGGTGGAGCTGATTTTTTTCTGATGATAGAGGAAACTTCTAAGTTTCTATTCGCAAAAATAAAGTTTACGGATGACGCTGAACATCATTACTATCAACTTTACTAGCAAATTGAAGCATTTTTTGGTATGATAAAGCAATACAAGACATTTTCTATTTCGTTACTTCAACGTTTTTCGTAATTGTCGACTTTAAAATGTTCAAATCTTTCACACTTGCTCTATGAACTTTCTTTTAAATATTTTTTAAGAACAAGTCAGTCAACGATACATTTCTACTGAGCAATTTGACTCCAACACGATGAAAACATTGATAACTGATGAATTGCGAGACGTGAACTATTTCATCGTCTTTGCATAGGAAAACATTCGAAAAAGTGTTTATAAACCAAGAATTCAAGATTTGGATAATTTAAGATCGGATATTGCGAAAAAGATTGAAGTAATCAAATAAAGTGTCGTATACTGTCTTACCGTACTGAAAAATGTTTCAATTTGAAAGTGAAGTAAATAGTAATGATTTTCAGCATCACTTGTAAACTTTATCCCTACGAATAAAAACTTAGAAATTTTCTGTACCATCAGAAAAAACTCAGTTGAATTGGCTGAAATACAGTGGAGATAAATGATTTTCTTTGTGGTAGGCTATTTCTGGAACACCTTGTATTCATCATTAAAATCATTGACATTGAAACAACGACGCACTATAATAATCAATATTTTTCAAGTTGATAATTTTCAATCAATAGATAGTGGAATAATAACAATATTGTTGAGCAAGGCGATCTCATTGATATATGGATAATGATAGACTTTAGTATGAAACAGACTATTGTTATGATTTAAAGTACATTGAAATTAATTGAGACATTTGATGTTATATAAGTCATAGAATGTTGTTTCTACTCGATTAATAAAATTCATCAAATATTGTTGTACGATATGTTCTGGACAAGCACCTATCAATTGTTAAATAAGACAATAAATTTACATTAGTCTCTTGTAATTGGAGGCTTTTTCTTGAAATCGTTTTTGCTTTCAACGCATGAAAACTATGACCTACACACGTAAAACAATATTGTTTTTCTTCAATTGATGGCGAATGCATGAAATAATTTCTTTATCTTGATCAACTGCTGCACGCGTTTATTCATTCATCATTCGTTTTGATTCCATATGATGAATCAAATCAATCAGAGCATCCCAATACTTATTTTGTACGGTCAATAGTACTCGATGACGTAATGATATATGTTCATCATCAAAAGTATTAAATATGTCATCGTGTTTTTTTCGTAAATGAACATTTTTTTTCACAGTTTGTTTCATCATTATCAATCGATATTGAAATCACTTTGAACAATGTGTATTCTTTGTATATCTACAATAGATACGATAGAACACTGGAGTGTATTAGTGAATAAAATGGTAGATAAGTGAGAAAAAACGAACAAAAGAAAATGAAACAAACTTTCAACATTGCCATACGTTTTTTTTAAGATAAACCCAACATAAAACATTTATCTAAACGAAAATCGACATAAACTTTATGGAACAATCTTCTGTCTATTGACTTTCGTTCAATTGACATTGATTAACCGTCAAATTTACTCAGGATCACATGTATAAGTGAAGAGTTCTGCCATCTTGCTATTGATGAATTTAAAAAAAACATTCACATCGTTGCTTTCGAGCTTTTTTGTCGATAAGCTTTCGAAATTTGAGAAAAAAGGATAGATATTTACAAAAAAGTTTCGAATTCGAGTTTGTCGTAATCTTCAATGAGCAGCTGATTTGTTGAAAGAAAATTATGAACTGAATTGAGTAAACCCCTCCCCAGAATAAGAGGCCACCCCATATTAGAGGGCCACCCCCATTAAAAGGCCATGTCTGAACAAAAGTTCATCAGCCCTATTAGAAGGTCATGCACTATTTAATTAATTAATTACAAAAATATTTAATTTTTCGTAAATATTAATTAATAATTAGCCAAAAATTACTGTTTTTTTGAGAAATCGCTGCATATTCTATCATTGATAGCATATTTTTATATGAAAACAGCGGTTTTCCACGAAAAATACGAGAAATACCTCAGCTAAAATTATGAATTAATTATAATTAATTATTTTAGTTTTTAAAACTTTTTAATTAATAATTGGTCAAAAGCTGACCTCAATAGAAGGCCACCCAGAAAGTAACGATGTGCGGAGACGCAATATAAGGCCATGCTCTTTTATTCTGGGGAGGGGTTTAGTTCAAACTTCTCAGTTAGAACAAGTGGACCACTCTCGATTTTATTGCATTTCAGACGGGAAAAAACGCTTTTGATAAAATTCAAGAACAACACATATTTCTGGATTGAAGTTTTTCATTAACATTGAGAACCTGTATCTTGAAAAGCACCGCGATTTTGGCGATTCCAAAAAAACATCGGCGAACAATCGTGATTAATCCCATTTCAGAAAAAAAAATCGGTGATTAAATCAGATTTAATCGTAACTGTCGTACAGAACATGATTTTACGAAAATAGTCTATAAATAAGAGAGATAAATCATGTTTAAACACTGATTTCAGTAACTAATTGTGAAATATGAATTAATTAGATAAATTTTCAAAAATTTATGAAATTTAGAGTTAAATATAATTTATATGCAGCTTTGTAACGTAATCAACGAGATTTGAACAGCAAAGAAAAATTTGACTTGCATATGGGTGCCACTTCTGTAATATGAACGAGATTGAAAGATTTTAAAAAACGATCAAAGTAAACTTCTCATTTACATTATTTGTTTTAAAACACGTTTTTTCATAATAAATAGTCTATTTTAGCTACTTTTCAAATAAAGTATTTTTTCAATGAGAATTCTTTTCGTCAAAAATTCAGATGAGTCTTCAATTAATGAAAAGTTAAGGATTTCTTTGATACGATGTCGTCTTCTGTTGTCATCATTGTATGTAGTTTTACTTTTTATTTAGCGTTTTTATTCATTTTTCCTCTTTTGGATCTTTAATTTATTAAGAAAAACAAATGTGCGAGGCGTTTCCTAAGAAAAATTAACAACATTGATTTTTAAATATGAATATTTTGTTGTTTTTCTTTCCTTTCTTTTCAAAACTCTTCTCATCGAACTATGTAAAATTGAGCCCCGTATTTTTTTTTCGTTTGTATTACATGTTTTGTTCATGTAAAATATTATAAACACTTGCTTTTTAATAGAAATATTCGTTAATCTAAAACAATTATAAGAGATGCTGAGTATAGCAATCAAAATGAAGTTTACATGTGTAAAAGTCGATCAATTATCGATAGAATAAGGAAGAAAAATCTACGTCCAAAACATGAGTTATCGCAAAAATCACCAAAACAATCGAAAAGAGCGGCAATTTATGGCGTTTCAGCCCACGATGGCTGATTTGTTTCGTTCAAATTCAATGGAATTGCTGACGTGTATTGAGACCGATGGAACTAAATTATTCTCACCTGGAATATTCTGAGAGAATTTCAGACGAACAGAAAGTGAAACCTTTCAATGATTGAAGTCGACGCCGAACGTTAGAAAATAAACTTCAAAGTCAATACGATTTGATTTGATATTTTTGAGGACAAACCAGTATTGAATAGAATTCCTTTTCTGAGAATCATCCGATTTTCGAAAAGACACTCAAGAAAACACTCAAGACAAGGATTTCTCTTGAACTTCAAGTTATGATCTTCGATTCGAAGAAACTTGCCATTCTTCTAGTTGACAATTACAATTCATTGGGTCATATTCTCCAAATCAATGGAATCACATTCGATTAAATCAAAATTACAAATTACAAATCAGAATTTTCCTTCATTTGATTATTGATCGAGCCTCATCAATGACAATTCATTCAGTCATTTTGACGCTTTATCAATTTATCAGATTAATTGAACATAATTCGAACAAATGTTCACTTGAACTCGTCGGTCAACATGTCAAAGGTTTTATTTGAACATGACGAAATTCATTATGGATCGAATTTCTCTTTCCATTGTTTTTTTTAACTTTCAATTTGATTCTTCTTGTGACAAATCAATATTTGATGAACACGATTCACTTGAAAAAGAATCCAAAGCATTTTTCGAATCATTACCTAGTAATTTTTTTTCGACAAAGTTTATTCACATTTTTTATGAGAATAGAGGATAATCTATTTAATACTTTACATTTTAACAATATGAACAAAGCCCGACAGCACACACTTATCAATGTTATTCTTTTCTCTACTAAAAGATTATTCAATTAACGACAAATTAAATTAAAATTATTTTTCAAATAACTCGATTTTTGAAAAAATTTTCTTTTTCATCGAAATATACAATCGATTCGTTCGATTTTGATGTCTTGCTCATTAATGAAAATGGTTTAATGAGAAAGAAATTTTTCATCCATCCAAATCCCATCTCATCAGTTACTCTTGAAATTTTCAAAAACTAATAAATGATGTTTTATTTCAACTTTTTCGCTTTCTTCAATCTCACAAAACAATTGTTCACTGGAGCAAATTTTAATATTCAACGAGAATTCATTTCTTGTAATAGAGAATTTTCCCAATCTTTATCATCTTTATCAATTTATTTCGCCACAATTCGATGCCAGAAAGAACCCAAGAATAAATCATTCGCTCTTTATCAAATAAATCTTTGTGAAACTCAGCCGATGTTTACAATTCTTTCTTTATTATTCAAATAAATTTCTATCAGTCACTGAAAATGATCGAACGATCTAAATAAAAAAAAACTTTTCAATGGAACCATCACTAAATTTATTCTGTTTTATTCTTGCCGCTCAAATAGTCGAGAAAGAATTTTTGTCACTACTTTCCTGTCAATGGATTTGAAAGTGTCAAGATATATTAGTAAGGAAAAGCATGCAGCACTACTTGAAATAACAAGACAAATAGTGGAATAGTCTCGTCTGTCTCTACAAAACAAATGAAGTTATCTCATTTTGACATCAACACTCACACCTACACCCACCTTCTAGTGTCTCAATATAATAAATTAGTGAAAAATCCTCTCAATTTTTAGACTTTATGGCTTCTTGTCATTCCGTTGGACATTTAATTGATCGTCTATTCCTTTTTTTCACATCCAAATTCAATATTTCGTTGACTAGAACTAACAAAAAATATGTTCATTACGGCATTTGATAGAGTTATTTGCTACGCAAAAATCATCAACTACAAATTGAATTAGTAAAGCAGTATGTATAGATTCATTGATGTGTGCTTTGTGAACATGGTCAAAGATCTCTGAGACTGAAAACACAGTGAATCATTGTGCAATTTATTCATCAGTGTTTCTTTCAGTGAGCTGAAAATTCATTGAGTCTCTTTTTTTTGTTTAGATGTTAATTTTCAATATACAAGAGAATAATGTCATTTACATTTTTCTAATTTCGATCAAACAACTAAATCTCAGAAGATATTGATCATTAACAATGAATCGACAATAATGCATACTGATCCAATTTGATTCGCTATAAATCTTGATTTCAATATTCAACATAAGTAGACTATCTGGAATATCAATTTGAACTGAAAAGACGAATTCGTCATGATGAAAAATATACTGCCAAAAAAACAGCAAATAGAGAAAAGAAACACTTTCAATTGAAAACACGTTGAAGCGATCAATATTATTCGTCTGATGAATATTGATTCTCCGAAAATACTTTTTTCCTGTCAAATGAAGATATTGGATTCATTTGTTGTTCATGTGTCGACGAGAGTCCCATTACAACTGGCTTTAGTATTACTTTGAATTCTAAGACATGAACTCAATGTAGGTTGTGCAGAGCTACCTGAACAAGTTACCTATAACTTTTCACAGACTACTGGAACATGCTTCCTGTAGCATTGAGGGTTGTACTTGACCGTATGAGCGGAGAAGTGTGTGTCGGTCTAATTATTCTCTTTATGCACATCCGCCCGCGCACTCGCAGTCGAACAACATCGTATCAGGTGCAGGTACTACGGAACATGAAGACATACCAGTGCAGCTCAATGGTTGATTAGTTTGAAACTGCAGCACTCCAACTATAAATTTCAGTTTAAAATTCGAAGAAGTTTAAAACTTGTAATGGATTAATGATTTCTACGCTACTCGTTTGTATTTCTTTCCTTGAAATGGACTGACTAATTAGTAAGGAAAGATAAGAAAAATCTTGAAACATTGTATTCTATTTCATACATAGAGAGAGAGAGAAAAGAACTAATTTGAGTAGAAAGATATGATTTATCTCTTCCTACTTTTTTGATACTCACAAACACTTTTATTTGAAAAAGAAAAAATGTTTCATCCCAGTTGTACTCTGTTGATTCTCTTGTATTCCTCTTCCAATATTGTAACAAAAACCGCCAAAGCTGCTTTCACAACTACATTATCTATCAGCACAAATATCTTTCAAAACTCTACAAAAAATGACTGATAATTCGTTATGGTTGATAGTGCAGACACGCATGTTTTCGGCACTAATGGATAGACTCAATTCATATAAAACCTATCACCATTTGCATCGACCTCTGACGCCAGTGGCGAGATCTACCCATATACTAATTTAGCTTTGACACATGAAGTAGAATGACTAAGACGGATTGTCCTTGTTTTTCAGAATATTCAGTCTTCTTGGTACTACGTTCTCCATTGCTTTGTGTGTTTCCTAAGGCTTACTATGTGAGGCGATACCAAAACCATGATTTCACATTGTCAACTTTATTCATCAATATTTGGGCCAACCTTTGTGTAAGAGAAATTCTCTCAAAACACAATAATAAAACTCTGATTTCATTTTATGTATTAAGCGTAATCATCCTAAAAATATATCTGTCAAAATAAGATCACAATAAAAGACAATAAAGAATTTAAGATTTATTTTCTCTGACGTAAATGTAATGTTTTTGTCCTGAACAGTGGAATGAGTGGAGAATGTAGGCAACGCCCAGCAAAACTGACAAAACATTGAACGAATTTTTCAGTTTTAATCCGAGTAGCGCTACAACTACTCTGATATACTGTTTTTTCACCTTGCAATGAAGAACTAACTGGCAAATACTAAGTCTAAAAGGATTACATTCAGGATGAAACAGTTCAAAATCTCAAGAGAAACTTTTTTTGCCTTTTATTTCTTAAAACTTCAATGAGAACACTATTAAAGCTCAGTTGTACATTCTCATTCATCGCCATCCAAAGAATTTTTGAATATAATCAGTTAACGTAACTCCACTTAAAAATTCTTTCATTTTCTTCTCACTATTACAATATATATTTTGAGGACCATTGCACGTGTAAACCGTTGCTTTTACTTCATCGTCAAGGCTCATGGACTTCGAATTCAATTTATCTTTTTTCGTCGAACACTTTGGTTGCACTGTTTTCAAACTTTCTTTATCAAATTGATTCATATCACCACAGTATGCATTCAATGTAGATGTCAGTGTATCAGCATGAAAATACGTATATACTTCTGTTTTTGATTTGCCGTAAAATTGATCAAGTCGTTGAATTAGGTTTGTGTGATTGTAATTAGCAAATATCAGGGTAGTTCGTAGTTGAAGAAAACTATCTAATGGCAGATGACAATTATCTTCAAATGAACATTCGTAGAATGCTTTGAGCTGTGCACGGCTACCATTTGAACTCATGGTGGTCTCTAAGACAATACGACGGTCATCATCGGGTAATTTTTTCAGAGAAAGGTAAGAGGCATTATAATAGATGGTGACGTATTGACGAGCATAGTCGATACAAAGAAGTGTATGACAGGCTGTTGCGCCAAATTTAGAGGTCGAAGACGTCTGGTTTTCACATCGGGACCAGGGAGATTGCCAGGTTGATTGATTTCGTATTTGAGCAAACGTGTATTCGTAGGAACAGGAAGCACAGAGAAGTTTTTGAGGTGAGGAAATAGTTGTGGATGTAGCTTTGATAGTTTTTGTTAAAACATTAGAAGAGAAATACAAGAGAATCAACAGAATAAGATTGGAATGAAACATTTTCTTCTTTTTGTGTACTCAAAAAGTGAGTACACTCTAGAATCGGTCAGTGTGTCCGGTCTGCCGTTTACATGATAACTTTCGAAAGGAGAGTCCGATCGCGATGAAATTTTCTACACAGTTTCGTCTCATCAATATCTCGGTCGAGTTCGAAGATGAGAACAATTGGTCGAGCCATTGCTGAGTTATCGGAAAAAGAGTCATTATTCCATATGCTTTTCTATGCGAACATTGACCTATCTCGTTTTTCGTAAAAACCTTTTCCTCTCATAATCAAACAAAACCCCAACTATTATATACCATCCGATAGAGAATTTCATGAGCTACAAAATGGCATATAAAACATTAAGAAACAAGAAGGCTAAGTCATCTATTGGACAGTAGTGTCAAACTTGAAACTTGAATTCAATTATTGAAAAGTTGTTTCAAGTATTCAAGTATTGAATTATTCAATACTTGAAGTTCAACCATTCAAATATTCCAGTATTCAATCATTACATTATTGCTTTTCGGCACTAGTACAATTCGTCGCGAAACAATTCGTCGCACATGCATTGTAGAGAATACATTGATTGAATTAAGTAATTCAGTTTAAAATGTTATATAATTAATCGCCTTAAAAAAAATTTTGTTTAGACTCATAAGAATCTTTTTTCATAATACAATGATTTTCTCAAAAATACAATAGAGATATCAATTTAAAGCCTGTTTTAAAATTTAATTAAAAAAAATTGAAGTTTGATTTTGGATAAAATTCTATGTACACAAATTAAAAGCAAAGTTCATTTTTTTCAATTGAAATTTAACATTTTACTTAAAACGAAGCTGAAAATTAAAACAAAAATATAAAATCGAAAAAAAAATTTTACGAATGTAAATAACAAAATTAAAGCTTCTTATTTATTGAAAGCATAAATTTTAAGGAGAAAAAAAGAACTTTATTTCTAACTTGTCAACATGCAATTTTATTTAAAATCAACCGTTAGTTTCTTTTAATTTAGATTTGTAAAATTTCTTTTCGATTTTTTATTTTTGTTTTAACTTTCAGCTTTTTTTTGTGTACATAGAATTTTATCCAAAATCAAACTTCAATTTTTTTAATTAAATTTTAAAATAGGCTTTAAATTGATACCTTTATTGTATTTTTGAGAAAATCATTGTATTATGAAAAAAGATTCTTATGAGTCTAAACAAATTTTTTTTTAAGGCGATTAATTGTATAACATTTTAAACTACATTACTTAATTCAATCAATGTATTCTCTACAATGCATGTGCGACGAATTGTTTTGCGACGAATTGTCGTGCGACGAATTGATCGGTCACCTTGCTTTTC